AGATAGGATAGGAAAAACAATTCGTTATTAAAAAATGCAGCGGACATATCTATTAAAGAAAGGCTGGTAACCAGACATTGAGAAAGCTTCTCTGAATAGTTTCGCGCTACCGACGCATAACACTCAAATAGGATTGAATTGTTGACAGGAAGAAATTTAGAGTGCCCCACATCTCGATAATCGATGAAAACTGTCGAACATAACCTTCGGTTTTGACCTGCTTTAACGTAATTTTTCGGCTTGAGCTCACCTTTGCCACGATATTCGGCCGACTGGTCTCTGTTTCCGGGTCGTGGGCAAAGATCCAAGATTCATCGCCAGTATTAATACGTCTCACGACTTCCTGATAGTCGTAAAGAATTGTTTCACAAATGTTAATGCGACGTTGCTTTTCGTGATTTTTAGTGATTTTGGAACCAATCATGATTTCTCAAATGGTTTTTACTGGTCCTTCCAATATTCCAACGATGCCATTGAGATCTCTGTGTGTTAATCGTCGCTTATCAAGCATCAATTCCCTAATTTTTTGATGCGTTGATTACCACTTGATGCTAATTGTCGTCCTCGACGTGGTTCGTCGCCAACCCGTTCCGGAACCTCTTTAAAAATTGTACCAAACAGACCTTTTCCAACATTCTGAATGTTTCGGTACCAGAAACTTGATTCCGCGCACAAAATTTATGGGAATTTCTCTGTTGAAAAAGTCGTAAAAATCGCCGAATGCACTTTATGTACTTCAGAAAAACAAGCCTATGACAAAACAAAAACAAGAAATGACATTTGGCACAGATGCCAAGATGTCACTGGCAGTCATRCTAATCTAGAAAAAAWTWTTTCCACATTCATATTAGAGATTAAAAGAGAATTTGCGCATGTTTTTATAGTCTACGAGTACATTTCCACATAATTGTAGTTCGGTCGACCTTTAGTGTTGTTGTGCCAGCTAAAAATATATTTCAGAGTTTTCGGAAATAGTTGTTAACGCAGTTATGGTCCAAATCGAAATCGCTGTCTAGCGTAGTATCGTAATCTCGATTTACAATGAAGAAGATTATTTCATCAAAATATGTATGYCAAATATTTTTAACGCTATAGTCGTCACCAACAAATGCCCAAAAAAAGCTAAGACTGAATACGAAAAATCTACGTAGTTTAATCAGAACTCACTCAAATATTCAGGGGAAATTTGTTAGAAGAACTTTTTTTTTTTATTTTTTACTACCCGCAGTTCGTCAAAACGTYCTGAGTATGTATAACACCAAAAATGTCARACTCTACTGTAAAGTTGTAAGTTGCCAAAACTCGAATATAAAAGGCAATCTACGTAGAATAGTTTGCAAACGCAGATGTAAGAAATTTTACTTGCTAACTACTTCAAAAATACTACCTTTCCTGAAAGACTTAGAGTGCCATCGATAATTGTGAAATACTCTTCATCAACTAAGAAAAGCCATATTTGTGGATTCGTTCGTATAGCATGTTCTTGAATAACGCACTGCACTATAGACGTTATAAACTTAATAATTTATTAATCACATTAGCTGATCGTATGCAGCATAATTTCAGACTATTTGATCTTAAATGGCATTTCTGTACTTATTAATACAGTGTGGCAAGTTCGGTAAGAACGAATACTAAATTTTAGCCTTTATGATTCTAACGTTTTCAGTTTAGAAACCGAAAATTCAAAAAGCTSATGGAAAGCGCACCGTTTTTTAATTTTAATCCACCACACAATTCATTCTRGTTCGTTTATTGCTCTTTCAATTCAACACAACATGTAGTGAAATTAAAATTCAGCTTTTTGTTATTTTCCTCTATCACACACTCGATTTTAGTTCGTTGACAGTTGAGATTAAAATTCAACTCATTATTATTTTTTGCTATCACACAATTGGTTTTAGTTTATTTATTGTTTTTCCAATTCAACAGTCAGTGTGGTGAATTTGAGGTGAAATTAAAATTCAGCTGTTCGTTACTCTCCTCTAACACACAATAAATTTTAGTTTGTTTATTGTTTTTCTAATTCAACAGTAAGTGTGGTGAATTTGAGGTGAAATTAAAATTCAGCTTTTTATTATTTTCCTTTATCGCACATACAATTTCAGTTCTTTTATTGTTTTTCCAATTCAACAGT